CATGCGTCAAACGAGAGGCTCTATAATAGAACGGCAAAGACATCACTTTGTGTAATATTTCAGGGCGAGTGACTCCTCTGCGCTGGCTGTGTGTGTGCACAACGCTGCCTAGGCGGGTCCCCAAGGTCGTGTCAGCCGGCAAATCGGAGCGGAAACTGGGCACCTGGGAGTGAAGCGTAAAGGTGCCGCCCGGCAATTACCGGCTTGCACCACCGCTGGTGGAGACGCCTCCACGAGAGGAAGCTCTGGAGAAGACCCTCTAGGGCAGGAGTCGACAACGGTGCGGCTCTTCAAGGACTGCTTTTGTGACGTTATACGTCAAGGACCACCATCTCGGATTCACACGCATAGCGGCTCTTGAAATATGAAGCTTTTTACCGAATTAGAAAAAAAATGGCTGTTTTTGTTACGTTGGTTTTCCGACCCCTGCACTAGAGGGTCCTTTAGCTTCGTTTGGCTTACTGGCCAGACGCTTTGAAAGAGGTGAGAATACCCACAATTTACCCCATCGCGCGCGACCTGCCGATCGACTAACTGTGGTGCTGGGTGGACAGCAATGTTTCAACTGCCGCGCCAGGAGATCAAATTGCGCGGGCGACCCCTGGATTACAAGTCCAGTGTGATAACCATTACACTCGGCTAGAATATAGTGCAGGAGCAGATAAAGAATTTGTAGCATCTCTTACCGTGTGCAAAATTGTCAGGGCCATATTTCTCACGGAACATATTACCGGGTTGTTGGTAGTCTGGAATAGGTGACACGTGAATTGTAGCCACAGCCGGAGCGACAGGAATACAGAACATGGTGTGCCGATTGCAGAACTACTTCCCAGGTCGCCAACCCACGCACCGCCCGGCTTGAAATAAAGTCTCGATAATAATACATTCAAATCTAAAACTTAATCACCACGGTGTCAATAAAGCTTCCGTTTGAACTCCACACGTAAATTATAATGGCACTGGTAGCGAGCGGCTTACAATCAAAATGATGTGAGATTAATTTCCAGTTTTCGAACTAAACTAAACTTTTTTTTGACCAGGTAAGGCCCACTGAACTACACAGCTCTTTTTCAGAAGCAACCTGGCCACAAATGATAGCTCAACGAAGTGGCTTATCGTGTGGAAATGTATAGCAGCCAAATACTCTGGCAGATGACTCATTCCTTAATTCCTCTCGGGTTACATGAAATGAGAACAACTTTGTGGAAAGGTCAAGGTTCATTGTTCTATGGATAGACTCACTCAAGCCATAGGAATGTGGAATTCGACCAGTGGCACAGGGCTGTAAGTAGGAAATGAGTCTTCTTGGTTCTTTCGGTAAAGTCACGAAGAAGGGAAAACTTACAATAATAAAAATAAAAGATAATAAAATACAATTCTCACGACGTTTCGGCTACAATGCAAGCAGCCGTCCTCAGGTGAAGAACAGGGCTGTCGGAAAGACAGCGTCCTGTTCTTCACCTGAGAACGGCTGCTTGCGTTGTGGCCGAAACGTCGTGAGAATTGTATTTTATTAAGTTTAATTTTTTATTATTTCCTTTCTACGTGACTTTACCGAAAGAACCAAGAAGATGAATCCCTGCAGTCACGAAAGCATTTAATAGAAATTTAGGAGATGAGTGTTTACCCCAGCCTCGATTGAGAAACCCTTTAGACTGTTTTGTGTGTAGTGTAACTGTCTTGCCTTGCATAAATTCTCGAGTATTACATGTAATTTCAAATGTAATTTTAATGCTAAAGTTATCAAAGTGAAAAAGAGTTAGGCTTTTTTAGCCAGTGACCTTCATATTCATTAACGCTTGCGACCTTATAAAACTTGCAGATGACGATGCTTGGGCTGTGCGGAGGAGTTGATTAATCTGCTTACGGGGTTTTGCCACTTGGATTATTGAGGTATCACAGAAAATAAAAAAAACCTCATTTATGAGATGGCATTGCTGGAAGGCAGGGCAAATAATCGAATTCCAATAAAAACATATTACGTAACGGTAAGCTGACAGAAACAACACAATTAAACACTCTCAAATGAATCTATGGAATAAGTGCTAAAGGAACATGATGGTTGTAGGTTTCAATAAACATATACAATTAAAATAACTGCTGGGAGAAATGTAGTTAGTATTAATCTTGTTCACGGGTCAAGGTGTTCCAAATTATGGGAGAACAGAGCGTGTAACAGATGTTATCTATTTATCTTGAGCCTTTCCTGAACGAACTGCTGGAATGAAGGTGTCACCGCGCCATGCCGATCATCGAGGGTATTTAACCATACTTCACCGCGCTGGTCAGCGGAGGTTGGTGATGCGGGGGCGAGGTGGTGGGGGCTCCAGAATAGTTCCAGACATCACGCGTCACTGACATAGGTCGTGTCCAGGAATCTAACACGGGTTGCCAGGTTCATAGCGCAGTGTGCTTCACCACTGCGCCATCGTTCACCCTCAAATATACGTGAGGGTTATGGTATTTAAAAAATACAATTTGGGCGAGGATGATACCAAATTTGTATTCACAGCGTATTATGAGTTATGCATTTGCACCAATGAAGCACATATTACATTTGAATTTGCACTCTTGTTGCAAATAATAATAATCATATAAATTATAATAAATTAATGTATTTGATTTTCACCATATTCTTACAGCAGACTTTGTAGTCTGCCAGTCATGTGCAATGCAAATTTGCTCTATTGTTTTACCTAATTCAGCAAAGTAATCTGCAAGTAGATTTTCACACATGGCAAATGTGGACCGCGACGCTAGCACTTCTTCATTCTTCTTATTTTTAAATCCTTTATATTAAGTTCACTTGCTTGCTTGCGCGCTTACGACCGTGCACATCTTTCGGTCGTTTTTTAACCCACTTCCCGTGATCCAATCGAGCTGACATTTTGCACACAGACTCGTTGTGCGTGACAATTTATTTTCGTGAATTTTTTTTCTCCAAAATTTTACACTTTTTAGGAAAAAATAAATTATATTTAATTACCAACTGCTTAATGGTGGCAGGCAATCATCTGACCCATAGGTGGCAGCCATCTCAAGCCAGAGGACGAGAGGACTCTAGCCGCCACGCATATAAAGGATTTATAGTGAAAAACTTAGTTTTTACGGGTTCATTTTTTTTATTCTTATTCTTTATTTTTTATTCTTTATTATTGTTCTTTATTCTTTATTCTTAGTCTTTATTCGTTATTCTTAGTCTTTATTCTTCTTATTATTTGTATTTGTATTTTTCTTGAAAAACATCACTGTAAAAGCTGAAGGTGCACATTCATGGTTAGTGCACCCCCGCCGTATTTAATCCACCAAAGAACCATGGCAGCAAGCGGAAAATGCGCTACCGCTCAGCCGTGTGACCAGGACTATCGTGAAGGTTAAATTTCGATTTAAAGCTTTCGTGACTGCAGGGATTCATCTTCTTGGTTCTTTCGGTAAAGTTACGTAGAATGGAAATAATAAAATAATAAAATAATAAAAATAAAACATAATAAAATAATTCTCACGACGTTTCGGCCACAACGCAAGCAGCCGTCCTCAGGTGAAGAACAGGTCGGTCGTGAAGGTCTCAAGTTGTACCGTGAGGTTGCAACCCAACGTGCTATTACTACTGCCTCCAGCCAGACGCTGATGCAGGCATTGCTGCGTTCCCGTTTGATTTGTTCATTATTGTTGAACGTGGGTGGGCCTTTCGCTTATAGGGTAATGACCAACGCCGTAAACTATAAATGCTTAGCCGTCAACTGGCTTTAAATATGTTTTGTATGAGATCACACTTCCCGTCGTAATTATTAACGCGTTAGCAGTTCAGTTAATATTAAACTTTATTTTGCGCGAGAGACAGCTGGCCAGCGATGTCGCTATATGTGTGTCTCCACAAAGTTATAGGCTCAGCAGAACGTTTTGACGCTTGCTAAAATATAAATTAAACAGTTAAGTTCCCACCATTGAAGAAAATCTTGCAAGAAAGTAAACGCTCTCCTTTATGTCCCGCTTCAGATACATCACGTGGCAATGGAGTGAATATTTGTTAATAATTCTCGTAGCCGGAATGCAGATCCAGTCACTGCAGTCATTAGTCACCAGGCTGAGGAACACTAATTACACTTGAGAAGCTGGTTCAATCAGAGGTGGATGCCCGGATTCAAAATTCAGTCTCTCAGCGGTGCAACTGCTCTCAATGACCTCAGCATCCTCTATATTTTATCTTGTAATGCAGCGTTAATGAGTGCCTGTCACCAAATTCACATCAGACTTTGGAGGCTAAGCGGGGTTAATCCTGGACACTGCTTGCATTTGGAAATAAGCATGCATAAGCCAGGTGTCATAAGCAGTGTCGGATTAAGCTAGTGTGGGGGCCTGTAGTATATGTTATGAAGGGGCCCTAAATAAATAAATAGACTCATACATATGAAAACAAAAATGTTTTACTTGCATAGTAAAGTTATTGTATTTTTTCATTTGCTATACAGCCAGATAATACGACAAATCGCTAACGTTAAACACCCAGTCGTTCATAAAAGTTGAAGGCGGTATAGTACTATAGTAATAGAGCAAGTGCAGAATCACTGAACCGGAATTGATAGCTTGAAAGCATCTAGCGCGGGGCCCTTGAAAGTGGGGGGCCCCGGTCGCATACGTAGCTAATTTTGCTACTCGGATAATCCGGCACTGGTCGTAGGCGTTGTGGGCAATAGAAGGCAGTGCAGAAAATGCGTTGTTGTTGCGTCCTTCTGCGATTTTCACCAACGCGCCCACCGACCAGCGTGGTGAAGCGTGCTCAAAGTAACGCGGACGAGGGAGGCCCTCGTTCAGCACTACATTGACAAGCGGGCTGTACGTGTGCACACGTGGATCACTGTGTGATGCTGAGAAGTATTCGATCCGTCTTCTTAGACCGTGGCAAGTGACGGTCAGATACGACGACGACGACGATGACGACGACGACGACAACAACAGGGTGCATAAATTGTGGCCAAAAAATTGCCAAAAGTCTTTATTTTAGCAAAAAGATGCAGACAGAAACAAAAGCATGTGCATATTTTTTTCTTCCAAAAATAGGTACTGCCCAGATACACTGAAAATATCGCGGCCTGACAACAGTACTTTTCTAAATTCGTATCAAAACTTGTCTGCAATAAATACAAATGATCGTTGTTTCTAGTTGAACACTGAACCCCAGCAAGACGTCATTCATTATATCTGACAAGGGAAGTGACCTGTACACAACAGCATCGTTACGCGTGAATAAGAACTCGTTTTCTTTCTTTCTTGCAAATTCACCGCAACAACTTCTTAAAATAAAAAAGGCTTTTTTTCATAGCGGTGGTTCTCCAAAGTCCTTACAGGGACCTCGAAGGCCCATCGCTTTACATCGACCATCCTTCGCATGTCAATACTCTTTGGTTCTTTCGGTAAAGTCACGCAGGTAGAAATGACCTGACGGCTCGTTGGGACACTCTGTCTACAGGAAAGCCACCCACACATATTTATACCTACGTGACTTTACCGAAAGAACCAAAGAGTATGGATTCCTGCAGTCACGAAAGCTTCAAATCAAGACTTTGCATGTCTCTCAGTCTTTTTCTCAACGCTAGTACCGACCTTGACATATTATATGCAATGTGCACTGCATGCAACTGTAATTTGATATTTATATGCATATGGGAAAAAATAAATCTCAATTGCACAGGAGACCGTTTGAATGAACCAAAGAGGATACACACTGCTTATAAATATCACCACGCTGAGAACAAATTTGAGCGTGCACACCCATTCCATGTAACGTGCGGTGACGTTGGATGCCCGAGGACAGCTTGCAAACCACTCGATTGCTCCAGGCAAGTGCGTGGCATGGTCTATAACCAATGCGTTACAAGCAAACTGCATTCCCTCAAAAACTAACGAGCAGAGAAGCTGCCCTCCCCTCCCCACCCAGCGACACGGAGACATCGTAGTCGGCTGGCATTGAGTGGGCACGCAATAGTCAACTCTAAAACGGGGCGTGCGTTTGGCTGTCGTATGAGGAGGGGTGGTCAAAAAGAAACTGTTTATAATGGAATATTAAAATGACCCTCGCTCAGAGCCATTACACACAGACACCTCTGCCATCTGTGCGACGAATGCGTGATCGTTCGACGGACGGGACGCGAAGATTCGATGAAATATGCGCGTTAATTCGGTGAAATTGCGAGTGCGTTTTTGGCCACCCGCTCGCGTGTCGTAAAAAAAAAATCAGTCCCTCGTGTAAGTTTAATGCCATTGCGCCCCTTTAATACTTTTCAAGAAACACGTTGACGCTCGCATGCATCCACAAACCAGAGGGCGGGTGATGGAGCGGGGGGGGGGCTCAGGGCCAGGGTTGCGATGGAAGTCGCCAGCGGAGGGAGGTTGAAAAAAACCCAAAAGCAGCCAAAGACCGCGGTGAGAAAGACGTGCGGAGGGGTTTGTGCTAACGGACGGCGAGGCATCGGCACAGAGCCCTGCTGTTGCGATTCCACGACCAACGGCAAGCAGGGCTCGGTGGCCCAGGAATGACGCACGGATGGCGCAGGATCGACAGTGATACAGATTCGATACGTGCCGCCGACGCTTCTTGGGTCACGAGCCTCAGTGGGGGTTGACCCCTTCCTGGTGCTCCCCCTTCTCCTCCCCCTGCTGCCTCTCCTCTGCAGCGACTAAAAGCATGCAGGTCACTTCTGAAAAGGGAGCTACTGGGTCCACTTACAGAGCCCGCTGAGTGTTGGGTCGGCCCAGGTTAACGCTGCTGTGGGAACCTGGGCTTGGCCGGGCCAACAATTTTCCAGCTTTACTAATAAGGAGCCGGCTTTGCCTGCCCAGTGGCCGTGGAAAAAAAAGTGGCGTTAATCTCAACGAGTGTTGGGTCGGCCCCGGTTAACGCTGCTGTGGGAACCTGGCCTTGGCCGGGCCCACAATTTCCCATTTTCACGAAATATGGAGCCAGCTTTGCCTGCCCAGTGGCCGTGAGAAAAAAAAAACGGCGTTAGACTCAACGAGTGGCCCAGTTGGCAGGGTCGCGTGTCCACACCCCTCCCCCTCTTCCCCGTGTTTTAATACGAACGGTGCGCGGTGGACGCAAGGGCCAGCCGGACGAGTGACCGGCGGGTTTGGGCTCGCGCCTTGCTTCGTCGCGCTGCGAGAGGACTCGAAAGCGTCGCCTTGTTGTGGTGGTGGTGGAGGCTTTCGAGCGAACTTTCGTAGAAAATGCAGCGCGGCTGTGGTTAACGGGAATCGTGTTTTGTTCAAGAGTTCTACAGTTGTGTCTTTCTATAATTGCTTATTGCTCGGCAGATTATATATTTTTTATTTGGTAAAAATGTGTACGTCTACGTGTTATTCTGTCGTGACTACATATTTACTTACGTATCTAACATAACGATTCACTTAGAAGGAAATAGGTACAATAGTAATTGAAAACCTCTATCTGTTTAGTATTTTTTTTGCTTATTTTTCAGTTAAAGCCCTTCTCCGTAATAATCCTCAAGCAAAACCATGACCTAATTGGTACTTTTCAGGCACACTGTTTTTGTTTATCGACAATAGACCGCACGACTAACAAAACTATACGCATCTTCCTCTTTTACATTCATACGAAATGTCACAGGATGTCATGGAAAGGTTGAAAAATTGAACGGAAGCGTAATGCAAAAGCTTTTTAAGCGACGCGTGCAAAATCCCACTCTGCGTCGCGACGAACGCTCTGAGCAGAAGTCTTGGCACAGGTTACAGTGTCCAGCAATTGATGTTGATGCGTGGGAATAACTGGCTAAATAAAGTGGGAAATGAATGTCGGAAGAAACTGAGTAGAAATCGATCCCTGGATGAATGACCATCCGCTTTCTCGCGTTCATCACAATTTTGCAGGAGCTGCAATCACATCAAATGAGTCCTTTGTTACGTCTTAAAAACACGTCTACTTGTTACGCGGCATTTTTGCGATTTTGTCAATTTCCAAAACAATGTAAGTGAATGAGTACGATGCAATTGCATAAATTGCCGTAATTAAAGCAGCAAGAACATTAACTCAGGCGCCGCAACGAAGAGTGCGAGAAGAACAGCCGTGGGGCACACGGAAACTCCACTTGAGGTTGTCCACATTTTGGGTAAAGTGTGAAGGTGGTTGATGAATCGCACTGAAGCCGAGGAATGAAATGCGTCCGAGAGCACGTCCAGCAAGATGGAGCGACTAAATCAGTTCAGGTGCGAGCTGAATTCTGTTATGTCGCGGGATAATGAGACGTGACGTCGACTTGGTGAGGCCTTCGTTTACCAAGGCTGATGATGGATGATGATGCTGGAGGGTGATGTGACATAATGCAGCAAGCACTCGGGCAGTGCCCGGTTCCGACTCAAACGCCGCAGCGCTCTCAGTTTGGTCGTTCGGTGGGAGGACGTTGCAGCCGCATCCCAATTGTGCGTTGAAATGTCGGCACGTGGTCGTGTGACACTCCAAATTCTGGAGTGGAGTCCGGCGTCTCGTTGAACTGGAGTCGGCGTGGGCTGTGCTTCGACGGAAGGAAAAATGTGATTGCACGCTTCCTGTAAAATGTCTGCACTTAAACAAAGGTTGTGATTTACTCGGGCCTCTGACAGTGTGTTCTCATGCTCCTGGCTTTTATCTTGCTGGATTTTAGCACATCTGGCACAACGGATACAAATGGATCCTAAAATAAAATAAAAATGTATCAACTTTCCAACCATCTGCATGACTTACACACATTTGATCTGTACCATCCACCAAAGTGGCATTGTAAACCAAAAACAAACCCCTTTCAAGGTTAGGAGATTGAAATACGTTTCTTTTCATTCAACAGTGTGTTTAAGTAAACAATCTTAATACCAACAACCCATATTCGATGCACATTGCTACAATTGTGCAAATGGACACGAGCTGTCTCTGGATTCGAATGACTTGTTTTGGGACGGGCCTAACAACGCCAGTGGCATCGCTATGCCAACTTCAGAGGCGCACCCTACATGTCCAACTTTCTCACACACACACACACACACCGTTTCACATTCGTTGAATCATTTGAGTAAATTCCATAAAATTGATTTCACGTCCGTAAGTCGAGACAAAAAAAAACCCCATTAACCGTATTGTTGTACTTGCGGTAAAACAATCCTGTCTTTATTTTTGTATGTTTTTATATTATATATATATAGTTTTAAACCTTCAGAAGCGTATCATCTAGTTTACGAAGCCCTTTTACTGTGTCCCCTGTCTCAGGAAACAAATCAGGGTGAGGTTCTCTCCCCGCCCCGTATTAAGAATTAAATAACCATCGGGCGAGGTGGTGTGGGTGGGGGAAGAAATGGCAATTGGGCAAATGGCTGATAAATAAAGCCGAGGAAAGCCCGACATGCCATGCCTCATCCGTCGCACGGGTCTTCTTCTCCCTCTCCCGACTGCCAGCTCTGGCTGATTGGAGGAGCGCTCGTCTATTGGCGTTGGCATTCAGTCTCCATTAGGGATTCCACTGCGGCAGAGACGGGGAGCCCATTAGCCTAAATCTGTGAACCTCGTCAATCCCGCTTTTGGCACTTCCGAAAAGAAAAACGAAACGTTGCTCCTCCCGGTAAACAAAAAAAAAATCGACGCGACGGCGATGTACGTTTCGGTGACTCGGTCTAAAAAGCTGGCGCGGTGTTCGTAACGCGGAGTCCTTTGCATTTCGCATGACATTTGCGGCATACCAAGAAAAGAAAAAAACATGCTTTCAAAAAAAGGACCCCATATTGTTTTCATCGTTCTTCTTTTTTTTTGCAAGTGGTGCTTTTGAACATGACGAATGGCCACGTGTCAACCAGGCCCAAAAATGTACAGTAATAGTTCTTCACGCATTACGCTTCAGACAGCACTTAAAGCTTCTCTCTCTCTCTCTCTTTAAATCGAGCTGGTGGAAGCGAGATGCTGAGTCGAGCCGCCCAGGCTGTGGGCCATCCCAGAAGGTCACGGGGTCATCAGCTGATGCCACCACATCCAGGTCGGAGGTCATCGGCAGCAGCCGGCAGGGGCGGGGGGGTTAATTACCTGGGGGGGAACTTGTGGGGGGCACGACCTCTCCCGTGGAGGCTTCTGGGATACACTCTTTTCTCGTCAATAAACATCTCGCCGTCAGATCCGTATGTGGAATGTGCTGTTGAAAACAAAAATGACACAGATATTATACCACCGCATAGGAATTTTTAGCAGTTGTGCTGTACATCTCTCCAACGTGTTTTCGGGTCCGACGTTTCGCACCGCGTGCGGCGAGCTTCCTTAGCAAATGTACCGAAACTTCAGACACCATGCCGAACAACATGCGGTACAACCCGTCAGAGAGCAACGTAAAATTAATTAAGCAAAGGAGCACATCGAGCTGGTGCTTTAAATATGCATGGGATACATTTTCCAACAGCATCACGCGTAAGGAGGCACGGCATGCTATAGACCAGCGGTCCCCAACCTTTTTGGCACCAGGGACCAGTTTGGTGGAAAACAATTTTTTCACGGACCGGGGGGGGGGGGGGGGGTCATCATTGGGTCTTTCCCCCTTTTCAAAGAAGCTCTCCAGCGACGTTTGTTTTTTACTCATTGTGGCTACTCGGGGTTAGGGCTTGTGGGCTTACCAACACTGTGACTGAGACAAGTGCGCAGTGCGGGAAACAGGTGCGGATAGAAGCAGAGGTCGCAACCGGGTACCCGATACCCGTACCCTACCCGATACCCGGCTACCCGTACCCGGCCGGGTACGGGTACCCATTTGCGACCCTGGTGCGGCCGGGTACGGGTAAGCCGGGTACGGGTAGGGTACGGGTACGGCCGGGTACGGGTACGGGTACCCGTTTGCGACCCTGGTGCGGCCGGGTACGGGTACGGGTAAGGAATCAAAACTCGTTTGCGACCTCTGGATGGAAGTGGTAAATAATAAAACAATGGGGGCGGGCCACGTGCGGGCTCACCGCTCTCACCTCCTGCTGCTGTGCGGCCCGGTTCCTAACAGGCCACGGACCGGTAGCGGACCGTGGCCCGGGGGTTGGGACCCCTGCTACAGACGACTCGTGGTATCGAGTGTGGGATTTGACACTGCGAGGTGGGAAGGTATTTATGACTTTTGCTTTCTCCGTGGCTGTAATGTCACTCACGTGGAAATTCGATTAATTCGAAAGGAAGTGCGTTAGTGACTGACTCTTGCCAAGTTAATACCACGCACACAAATTTGAAAATAACTTCTTTGCAAGCGCGGCGCGCGCTCGCAACAAAATGCCTTACACGAATACTTTCATGGGAGCGATCTAAATAAGAAATGAGGCGATATCCTACGTGGGTGTTTTGAAACCACAGCTGAGCGGATTTCGCTGCGGATGCTGCGCTGCTCGGCATATCACGCATCGTTTATAGACATCGGAGGCAAACGTGAACACGCTTTATGAATTTAATCAGCCGCCGTAATTTAATCAGCCCCTTAATGTATTCAAAAGCTACTCGCATAGCCTGATATCTAACACAACACGAGAAGCGAACTGTTACAGTGCACAATTCATTTGAGTGGTGAAGAAATCTTCGTAAATATGCGCAGCAGTTAATGAGTAAGAGCTGTCCCTAACGTTGATGCCATTTTTTTTATTCCCTCAATCACAGCTTAACGACAATTGATATATCCTTCAAGAATATATTTTTAATTATGTTTCATGTGGGTGCGTAATTGTGTTTCTGCAATTAAGTGTTGTTGAAATATTTTAGAACAAAAATCCCTATGTGTGTATATGTTTGTACGCGGAGCGATAGTGTAGCGGTTAGTGCACTGCGCTACCAACACGGCGACCCAAGTTCGATTTCTGCTCAAGACCAACACCAGTGATGATTATCTGAACCGGTCCTGGGCCTTCCCTAGGTCGACTCAGCCTCAAATGAGTACCTGGTGCGGTGTGTAAACATCGCCACTAGGGGACAAAGGCGGCCGGGCGTGGTGCTGGTCACCCACCCCCTCGTGTACCGTTCCAGCCTTCATAGGTGCTCGCAAACAGCGCTTGCCCCAACATCCTGCCACGGCTATACGGGGGATCTTTGTTGTTGCTCCCGTGTTCAGTGAGTCAACCTCCTGTTTGTGCTCAGTTTGCGGGTCTGCAGCCAGTGATCTGCTATGGTGGCAAGTGAATATTCACCACGATGCGATAGAATTGCATAGCTCATCGTACAGAGCATTCACGTAATGACATGACATTCGAGTTGTATCCAGACACCTTTTATTACTGTACACGTGGAATACAGAAATAAATCACACACTGGTCCAACCAGACCCATTTAAGTCGGAGAACCGCTTCCAAATCCTCGAGTGTCAGCGAAGAGCTCGGACATTTAGAATTCTGTTAAAAGATCCATATTTCTCGCGAGCCACTCTGAAGCCTCAATCTTTGAGAAATAGTGCACGAGGACCTCAGGTTTACCCCCATACCCCCTTTCCCTGGGGACCTGCCCCCCTTGAACTCTGCTCTCCCACCTCCCTCCCAGAGCCGGCCCAGCCACTTAGCGACCCTTGCAATTGCAAAGGGCCCCGTGGTCAGCAGAGGGCCCCCTAGAGTCACTGCTAGCTAGTTGGTGAAAAAAATCATACATCAAAGGGGCCTCCAACCAAATTTTGCTTAGGGCCCCCAAAGGTCTAGGGCCGGTTCTGCTCCCTCCCCTCTCCATCCCCCACTCGTCACTGACCTGATGAAGTCCGGTGCGCGGGAGATCATGTGCTCGAAGTCGGCGAATGACAGCTTGCTGTCATCGTCCAGGTCGGCCTCCTCAAGCACCTTGTCGATGACCAGCAGCAGCTCCTCGTGGCTCATCTCGTCACGTGTCAAACACTGCAGCACCTGCAGCAGGTCCCCTCGGCCGATGAAGCTGTCGTCGTTGAAGTCTTGTCGGCGGACGAACAGAGACATGAATTCAGTGCCAGTGTTTTTGTGCACAAACAGATGTAGAGGCCGTACAACAACAAAAAAAAATTAACCCGTAAAAACAAAGTTTTTCACTATAAATTCTTTATATGCGTGGCGGCTAGAGTCCTCTCGTCCTCTGGCTTGAGATGGCTGCCACCTATGGGTCAGATGATTGCCTGCCACCATTAAGCAATTGGTAATTAAATATAATTTTTTTTTTCCAAAAAAGTGTAAAATTTTGGAAAAAAAATTTCACGAAAATTAATTGTCACGCACAACGAGTTTGTGTGGAAAATGTCAGCTCGATTGGATCACGGGAAGTGGGTTAAAAAAACGACCGAAAGATTTGCACGGTCGTAAGCACGCAAGCAAGCAAGCAAGTGAACTTAATATAAAGGATTATAAAAAAATGCTGCCGGCCCTGAACCAGTCGCGGATAGTCCAATGTTCATATCTCAGACGCAAAGCAGTTTTGAATGAGAATCAGAATCTTTACTTATACTGAAGGAATCCAATGAGGTATGAAGGTAACTTGCACGCGAGTCAACTAGGGTCTCTCTCCTCAATCTACGCATTCACTGGCCCCACATTTCACGGTGATTTTCACACCAAAATCACCCTGAAGCTGCCCAATGCTATCAGGTCTCTGAAGCAAAAGAAAGCTTGAGCCTGGTTTGTATACTTGGATGGGAAGCTGCATAAGAATACCCAGGTGTTGATTGTTTAGGGCTGGCAGTGTTGGAATGGATTCTTGGATCTCTGGAAACTATATATGCAGAACTTTGAGGTTTAATATCCCCGTATTCATGGGGGTTCCCTACATCAGCGGTGGCCATTTGGCATGCGGCTCTTTAATGCACCACACACGGCTCTGTCGAAGGTCCATAATGTAGAAGATACACAGGAGCAAAGAATAATGAATGTCTTCCCGTGCTGTGCCGAAAACTGTCAACATGTATAGATTTACACCATTGGAACCTCATTTGTCAGTAAAAAATGTCATAATTGGTTTTTTACCCTTCTATCTGGCAACAAAACTGACACCTTTTTTTTACAAGGAGTCATGTTTGCATAGACCACAATACCTGCAGCCATAATGCAAACAAAAAACATAACTCTGATAATATATGCATTGTTCTTGAAGTTGATTGGTCCACACCCGAGACAGCTTTCCTTAGAGCCTAGTTTTGTTGCCAGATAGAAGAGTAAAAAAACAATTATCATATTTTTTACTGGCAAATAAGGTTCCAATGGTGTAAATGCTTACCCCGAGCTCTCATACTCTGATGGTGCATTGTCTTTGAGTTGTGCGCCTTTTGGCGTCATCTGGTCCAACCCATGTGAGACTAGGCTCTAAAGAAAGTTGTCTTGGGTGTGGACCAATCCACTTCAAGGACAGTGCATATATTATCAGAGTTATGTTTTTTGTTTGCATTATGGCTGTAGGTATTGTGGTCTATGCAAACATGACTGCTTGCAAAAAAAGTGTCAGTTTTGTTGCCAGATAGAAGGGTAAAAAAACAATTATCATGTATAGATTTATACACCCCTCCTCTAGATACTCAAGTTGAATTTCAAGTGCCAAACGCTCAATAATGGAATTACCCATATATCCCAAATTTAGGACCCTCCTGATAAAACCGTCTTGAGACTCAATGAGGCATACCTGTGTAGTGGACATAACTATTGTTATTTTAATCACTAGCTTCTTTGCCCGTCCTAGGACGGAAGCTGTAATATTTACGAAAAAATTGAGCAGAGTATAATTGTATCTTGTGTCAATTTAATGGCAGTGAATCTTGCACGAAAGTACCTAATCAATCACTTCACTGCATTTCACTGTAGCACTGTATTACTGACAGTGAATCTGGCACAAAACAAAGTCATAAAACACTTCACTGCATTTCACTGTAGCACTGTATATAACTGACCTTCAATTTGTTCAAATTCACTGCTCTGATACTTTATTCTCTTCTGCTTTCAGTCGGTGCGGTTGAAATAAATTGGATTTCGATACAATATCTGGAAAATCACCGATAAATGTCTATTTTACCATAATGTAGAAGCATAAATTAGACTTACCTTTTGTCTCAACTGCTGAAGAAATCAATAAAGACACCAAATCTACTTTGTTGCTGCGTATAATTATTTATTAGATTAGCTTTCAATAAAGAAACGTCAAACTTAAAGCGAGTTTGCGAAAAAAATGTATTTCCGCTCGACCTTCTTCGGCGTGAGTGTAAAAATTCACCCGCTCATGAATATTAATGACGGGGGGTGCGGCATGTGGAGTGACGTCACGCACGAGACACACAAACAGACATTCTTGGCTCATTATAGACGTAATCATTACATGACAAAGGACAGTTTTTTTTCTGTTGAACAATGAGTGTTGACGTCATGCAAACGTGTTAATCATTTCATCAGACCCGTAAGAATAAATGGTCCGAGTTGACACCAGACCGAGAATTCAACTCGCGGTCCTCGGATTTTGTGAGTCAGTGCCGCCCAGACACGTTTTGCTGCGCAGTTGGTGAGTAAATTGGATAGACACGAGCATGACTCGAATTGAATGCTTCATCGCATCGTTCATCGTTTTGCATTTTCCACTTTTCTGCTCGTCTGGCCTGAATTCTACTCAATTACAATAACACTTAGGGGGGAGGGAGGGGCAACATTGAACGATGACATTGCAAATATCACCGTTGCCAGAAACATACATCAAAGGGTAATTTCCTGAAACACAGCCGATATATTGGTTATGTCTGTAAGGGTGTTTTAGAACTGTATTTTAATGCCGCAGATGGAATGGGCACGTGTGCCGGTGCCAGGTAGATTATTGTATCGCAGGATCACGAATGATTGCGGTTGCTTGGAAGGCCTTCATCCAGCAGTGGATTGACTAGGCTGCTACTGCTGCTGCTGATGATGATGATGACTGTAATGGCAGTTGAGTGTAGACCTAACTGTTGTGGTCATAATATAAACATCCGCAAAATGAAATACCTAGAGGTGCCACATTCGAGTTTCAGCTGTGGGAAGGCATGACACGTGTCTGGAACCTCTCCGCAATCGACTTCTGGTCGTTAATTTAACTCTGAAAGATTGAGCCAAGTGGTCCCACACAGTTGTATTTATCACTTATGTGGCTAATTCAAATGCCGGATGTGGCTAATTCAGGTGATTGAACACAGAATATAAATGTCTCTCTACAACAGCACTCGATGTGTAATCTCGATAATCGTTCAATGCACGCGTTTGGAATTTTTAGGTGTGTCCCGAATAAAAATAAACAATATCACCCGAAACAAATGCAGGACCTTCTCCTGAATGAACTGTTAGCAACCCAATGAGGCAGCGGAGAATTTTAATTACTTTGAAATAAGCATATTAAAGCTGTGTAAAATGCCCGTGTGCACACACGTGATTGCGAGTCGGGTGTTTTTTTGCGACGCGATACCAGCAGTCTACCTGGCTACATTTTGTTCCAATACGATGCAATAAAATTGGGATTTATATAGCATTGAAATGCAACTGTCTGTATCTTAAGATGCTGTACAGACGAGAAAAAACCAGGGCATCTAGAGTATATCACGCAGATAAAAGGGAGGTGCCTATGTTTATTTTTTTTAAAGGTGCGATTAGAATCATGCTGCCGTGGCCGGTTGCCTAAGGTGACGAAATTGCGAAGCATTTCAAATGCCCGTTTGAGAGAAAATGCCAACGAGTTAGGCTCTGACGAATATTGCGTGAGGTTAAAGAGGCCACGTTTCAAGCAGCGATATGGTCTAAAGAAGTATTATTTAACACTTACCGAAATCCGGAGCAGTATTTGTTACGATGCCAGTTTCCTTGGGCAAATTTAACTGGGATTTTTTTTGTGGCGAATTTAAAAAAAATATAGAGCGATAAACTCCAGGTTGTTAAAATTTTACAATCTGAAGGCCGTTGTTTGAACCGTCCACTCAAGGTACACACTTTTACTACCGCACGGAGAGTCAAGTTTCTCATCGAGGGAACATCGCAATAATTTCTGCTCGCTCAATTCAAATCCGATACTCGTTTACCATTTAGGAAAAGATGATTTGCATCAAAAGTGCTGCATTCTCAAATATACAAAAAAGTTGTCACTTCATATCACCTACAAGTTATATGTATGAAAAGAATTGCAAACAAATACATTTGTGAGCAAACAGCAGTCGTAAAAAAAAACCTCGCGTGCCGAGATGAAAAACGTGCCGTGCTTCACAAATGCCGACGTAAATTACACGCTTTGCGTTCGTCTGCCCTGTGTTGGGTGGCATTTCTTTCCCGCATAAAGAAATCTAACGAAGCATTACATAAGGATGCACATTCTTTTTTTAAATCCTTTATATTAAGTTCGCTTTGCTTGCTTGCTTGCGTGCTTGCGTGCTCGCTTGCTTGCTTGCTTACGACTGTGCAAATCTTTCGGTCGTTTTTTTAACCCACTTCCCGTGATCCAATCGAGCTGACATTTTCCACAGACTCGTTGTGCGTGACAATTAATTTTCGTGAAAAAAAAATTCCAAAATTTTACATTGTTTAGGGATTTAAAAAAAAATATTTAATTACCAATTGCTTAATGCTGGCAGACAATCATCTGACCCATAGGTGGCAGCCATCTCAAGCCAGAGGACGAGAGGACTCTAGCCGCCACGCATATAAAGGATTTATAGTAAAAAACATTGTTTTTACGGGTTAATTTTCTCTTTCTCTCTCTCTCTTTCCGGCCGGTCGAATATTTTTTTCACCGCCGATTTCCGAATGCCGATGACGGGCGAGAAATCCCGCTGGTTTCTTGCCTGCCTTTTGTCACCCGTTGCACTTCTCAGCATCGTTTTGCCGTAACCAAGCCGGGCGCCGACGCGAGCGAGACTCACCGTAAATTTTGAAAGCGTAGTAAACTTTGAGCTCCCTCGGGGCCGTTTCACTGAAGGCGGAGAACATGTCCACGAAATCGCTGAAGGACATGTTTCCTTGGCCGTCTTCCGAGAACACCTCCAGTATTCTCTGCCGGAAAGGGTTTTCCTGAGCACAGCGGTGCCAACCAAACAAACACAGTAATTGGCGCGTATCAACTTCACTTTACACAAAACACAGTAATTGGCGCGTATCAACTTCACTTCATACCAACGGCATTACACTGTGCTACGACCGCCAAGATACAAAGGTGCATTGAAAAATTGTAATACTGCTACTGATACTCCTGCTGTTATGGAGTGGCTCATGCTGCCAGCTATGGCTGCAAAGTTTGGTCGTACATGTTATGTATATCGTTTATTGTTAAATTTGAATCACAGCTCCTATGATCACTGTTACATTGTTTGTATCGCTTTATTTTGGTGATTTCGAAAACGTTTTCATTTAGCCATATTTGTTTGTTGTCGTACAGAGTTAGACTGATCACTTTAATCTAAATTGTCTTATGGTTGTTATTGTTTGACTTGCATCCCACTGGGATTTTTGCACACAGCGTTGATATACGGTGCTTTTTCTGGAAGACTTTGCAGTTTTTTACTAAAATGTTCTGTTGCGCGTCGTCACTTGAAGATGTTCCTTGTTCATGTTTTTGTTTGTTGCGGTTGCACCCGAGTCAAGACCTGCATGGCTCACAGGGTTATACCTAATAAATGAAACTGAAAAACTTCAACGGGAACAGTCCGTGAACGCCTCTGCGGGAATTATTTATGCCGCACTCACATTCGTATTACCTAATTTTGTCATCATCATAATTTTTTTTTACAGATATAAAACTGTTCCTAGCACTATAGGGATATAGGAGTACAATGATATGGGATTGTTGTTAGAAAAGGCATATGTCGTACTCGAGTGCAAGTGCCTTATGCCGGTAATCACTGCTCCAGGCCAGTCAAGCAGCGTTCCGGGAAATATCGAATGAGAAGTTAAGCACTGGCTACAGCGTGTAACATACAAAGACAAAGATCCCCCGTATAGCCTTAACAGACTGTAGGGGCAAGTGCTGTTAGCGAGCACCTATGAAGGCCAGAACGGTATACGAGGGGGTGGGTGGCCAGCACCACGCCCGACCGCCTTTGTCTCCCCAGTGGCGATGTTCACACACCTCACCAGGTACTCGTTTGAGGCTGAGTCGACCTAGGGGAGGCCCGGGACCGGTTCAGATAATCGTCACTGGTGTTAGCCATGAGCGGGAATCGAACCCGGGTCGCCAGGTTCATAGCGCAGCGCGCTAACCGCTACACTATCGCTCCCCGCTGCCAGCATTACGGACACACACACACACACGCACACACAGATGCTCACGATAACAAGTCAGGCCACAGTTCTGAAACGTCTGGACTACAGCAAGGGGCTTTAGTCATCATCCATAGGGCTCTGTCATGAATTCGTGTGATGTCTTGGCGTTAGGAGTCACAAGGAATCTATTCGTCGATCAATCTATATGTTTAAGTTTAATACGTGGCTGGCTTTCGCGACCGATATCATCCACAATGGAGTTTTTTTAGGTTAGATCGCGTAAATATATAAATGTGTCGTTAAACCCGCCACCACCCGACACAGCCAACTAGTAAGGGTTGTCATGTAAACAGAACGTGGCCAATTCGTCAATAGTACAGCACTAACCGGTGTGTTGGAGAGCCAAGCCACAACATTTACAATCTGAGTATGACTTTTCGCCAGTAATTACAACTAACTTACTAGTTGGCTGTGTCGGGTGGTGGCGGGTTTAACCACACATTTATATATTTATGCGATCTAACCCCAAAAAAACCTCTATTATGGATACATTTTTAACCTCAGTTTACGTGTTTAATTGGTTATGTGTAAGAATCAACGTGTTTCTCGTCGTGCATGTGGCATGCAATGTGGTAATGCGACTCCTTCAGACGTTGGTGGCCGCTAAATTGACGACTGTGAAGAAGAAAAATAATCGATTCTTTATTGGCATCGTGAAACCGAATTGTGACAATTCTAATGGTGCGGAGCTGTGCGTGGGTTATGTCGCCCTCGAACTGTCCAAATTGTTGAGAGATCGGCCACATCGTGGAGATTCTGGGTGCTAAAGGAACGGTCTCGATGACTGCGGCAACCAAAAGGAAAGACACAAGACCAGATGGTGGGATACGGTCAGGGCAGATCTTGGAGGTCGCGTGTCAACTATCACGCAGCTGCGGGATCTGGCAAAGGATAACAAGTGCAGGCGAAAAAAGCGATGGCGTCAACAGCATTGGCCATAATGACATCGAATGCCACCCAAGAGTCACCTACATTGTCACTAATACCACCCCACAGCCACATACATAATGGAGATGTTCATCTACACAGCGAACATATTGGGCACATGGTGGATACGTTGGACACTAATGCTGCCCTCAATACACATACATTGTAAAGATATAACCAGTAATGTCACCCTTGAACCAGTGACACGATGGAGATGTTAGGGGCACCGCGGTGGTGAGATGTTAACTCCTTCGCCTGGTATACAGGAGGTCGTGGGTTCGATCCCGACCATGACGCCTGATGCTGTATATTTGGAGTTTGCATGTCTCTCTCTCCGTGGTCGCGTATATTTTTCTCCGTGTCCTCCGGTTTTTCCCTCCACCTTTACGAACATGCGTTTAGAGTACTTCGATGAACTATCATTTGTGGCCAGGTCGCTTCTGAAAAAGAGCGACATACTCTTTGATTTTTTCGGTAAAGTCACGTAGGTAGAAAATTAAAATAAATTAAATCACGACGTTTCGGAAGCAACACAAGCCTCCGTCTTCAGGTGGAACCGCCACAGCAAAATTACCGTAGTGAATAAAACCAAAGATCTAGAATTAAGAGCGACATAGCTCAGTCAGCCTTACCTGGTCAAATGAAACCGAGTTTACTCTTGCCACCCTCGAGTCATCTACACAGTTGAAATGTTCATCACTAATGCCACCCTAGGAACACCTGCATTGCGGAGATGTTGGGCAGTAATGCCACCTTAGGAACACCTACGTCATGGAGATGTTCGTCAGAAATTCCACCCCCACAGCCGCCTACGTCGTTCAGATATTGGGGGTACATTTGTCGAGATGTTCGTCACCCATGCGGCCCCTGGGGCTGCACTGGTCACGGAGCGACACTCGAGCCGTGATGCAGGAGCCTTTGTACCTTCAGCTCGGGCATGGTTCCAATCAGCTGGGAGGGGATGGTGATGTCGCAATAACCGGAGGAATCCTTCGAGACGAGGTGCGGAACCAGCTCCATGAATCTGCCGTGAAGCCTGCGGTGGCGAGGAGACAACGGAAACATCTCGGGTTTTTTTTGCTTCATCGCCACATCCACGCTGCAACAGGGTAGTTGTTTTTTTTCTTCTTGGTTCTTTCGGTAAAGTCACGTGACTTTACCGAAAGAACCGAGAAGATGAATCCCTGCAGTCACGAAAGCTTTAAATCGAAATTTAGGGTAGTTGTTTTTCGATTTGTATAAAAGCACCACTGGGATGTGATCTGGCTGTAAAGGTCCCATACACGATTGAAAGATAATTTGAGCTATAAACGTCTTTTTTTTTAGAGCTCATCCTGTCCGTGTTGAAAATGTGTGCGGCAGAGGTGCTTTTAACACCAGCTGTTAGTTAGGGCACTAATCACAGGCACGCAATGTAAATTATGCCATGTAGTTAAATCCTTATATTTTTTTGGTGTATAAACTAGAAATCACCTTAAGGCATCGCCTTCAGATCTCAAAAGAAATGACGACTCGTCAATCTTCCATACGGGCCTTTTTGGCAATTTAGCCTGCGTGTTTGATTTGGCAGCTTCCTCTGCAGCCATGCCAGCCCATTTCCGAGCCCCGGTACATGTTCAGTCAGCCTGAACAGCTTACTTATAGTTCAAGGCTTTACGGGCGACCATGAATCAAAGACTGCGACAGTGGCGCTTCTGTTCGCGCTGGCAGGAAACCAAGAAAGCAATGCTCGCTCGCCCGCCCGCCCGCTCGTGAGCCAAGCACTGCGGCTGCTTACTGGAAGGACGTTGGGTCTAGAATGCTCGTCACCCTGCACACGGTCACCGCATCGCGCGCTGTCAGATGCACTTCTGCGGCCGTCTGGAACGCTCCTCCTTCCGATACGAGGAAGCCACTGGGACTATGCACTTTAAAATAATCTAGATTGAAAAACTAATTTCTTGAGAACTGCTTGTTGTATTTAGTTTATTGTCCTTCGCCCGTACTTCCGATTAGCACGGTTGGGAACGTACGGTACGAAAGAAGTTCAACATGCATGCATACGTACACCCCGCTCACCGCCTACTCTTACCTATATGCCCGACTCGGCAAACTGCACTCAAAGGCGTGAGCTATGGTTAAGTTAAGGGAAGCCAGTTGTGCTTGTTGCCTCTGGACGAGATGCGTGTGTCGCCTTCTCCTGTAAACCCAACGAAACGGCGCCGGACAACCGGAAGTCAAAGGGTAATATTTACAAAAAAAATGCGCGTGTAAATCACGCTTGCTGTACACAGGGCCCAAAGGTCAAAAATGCCACGTGGCCAACAACAGACAGCATCGTTGGAGGCGTAAGAGGTGAGGGTCAATACATCTCTTGAGTTGAGACAAGGTTATCAGAACGTGGGAAACAGAGACAATGGACGGTAATTCCAAATTGAACGTGAAAAAATGACGCGAGTAAAATTTTAATAAACGTTGCCGTTTTAAATGACCCATAACTCACCTCCGTGCCCCAAAAAAAAAACTACCCAAAGTATTAATTTACCGTCTCTTTCGTTTCTGACTTCCTGTTTTAATCTTCCGATCGCCGCTCGCACCCCGGACAGCCGCGGTGAATATGAATTAGGCAGAAAACTACCTCGTGGAACATCATCATCATCAACCGCTTGCCCGCGGCCTTTCGGCACGTACGAATTATAATCGCACACATGTGTGTTTCTCCCCCCTTTCCCCCCACCCCCCACCCCCGCGATTGTTAAATAAGAAAACATTTCGATGTCATACATGGGGAGATGAATTGATCCGTTGGCAATAACATTCTGTCGGCTAAGTAAGCCTTCTGTGCCGGGCACGTTGCTTTTCTGTTTTGGGCAAAAAAAAATCAATTTCTATTATGTGGACAAGGTAATGGAAAATGCCCTTCCTAGGATATAAATACTGTGGAAGTGAGCACCAATAGCACCACTAGTATAAACAATAAAATGGAAAATCCTTTGCATGGCTTATTTATTTATATACTTTTCCCATTTATCCCATAACGCAAAAGTTATTCTGAAACCCACAAACGACGACCCACGGTGGCAATGCCTTATGAGCAATCCTCCCATAAATAACGCTGCTGGATTTACTCTTCATACCTTCACAAGTGATAAGCACAATCTCCGTGACGTTCCTTTACGGCCGTTGCGACGCTGCCGCTTATTCTCTCGACTTCTCATACGGGAGCGTAATTAGCACACTGACAGAGTTCCTTGATCTGATTTTGCACGAGCCAAGCAAAATGAGAGAGGTGCCATGCCACGGATGACCATCTCAGGTTAATATTTTTGGATAATGTGTTTGACAACACAGTGTAACGTTTTTAGTATCTCTGGTGCTCAAAGCAAACTGAGCTTGGAAATTCAGTTTTAATATGGCTCGTAAAAGAGCAGCCTTGTAAAATCCCATCCAAGAGTAAAATAGGCCGTACATTTTTAAAATATATATATTTTACAATGCACATCCATTGCTCAGCAAATCCTTTTCGATCGCAGGGGAGAGATATCACTCAACACAACCATAATTGAGAAATAATGGAATTTTAAATGGGGGTATTTGTAATGGCCTGGGATAAGGCTGACGTTATATAACAGGATAATAAGGGGCCAGCCGTCACGATTCTGATTCTGGGCCCACTGTGTGCGTCTGTGGATACATTCCCCGTGTGTGAGCGTGCGTGCGTGCGTTGCGTAGATGCACGTATGTATGCGTTTCACGGAGATCCGCTCTCGCGTGTGTGTGTGCGCGCACGTGCACGTGTGTGAGGAACGGTGGCGCAGTGGTTAGCGCGCTGCGCCACGAACCCGGCCACCCGAGTTCAACTCCCGCTCATGGTCAACACCGGTGACGATAATTATCTAAACCAGTTGCGGACTGTCCCTATGGTCGACTCAGTCTCGAATGAGAACCTGGTGCGGTGTGTTAACATCGCACCAGGGAGGCAAAGGCTGATGGGCGTGGTGCTGGCCATTCTTATGCTTGGACATGGGAATGGCTCAATTGTCCATTGAGCACAACTGAAAAATTCCCCACTACCACAACAGCGGGTCTTCCATGTTAAAAAACAAATGCCCTCTGCATTTCCTCACGTGGGATAGGCTAACATTCATTCCCTAATGGAAGCACGATCGATGTATCTCATCCAAAACCATCCCAAACAACAGGCGCTGTGTCAGATTCCAAATAAATCCCTCCATGAAATATTTAGGCTTGACCCCACGGCTGTTGAACTCTATTGGGCTGAGCGCCGTCTTTGTGGGCCCTTGTGGAGCGGTATGTGTGCGCTCATTTAGCATGCGATAGCGCGGCTTTATTGACCCGATCAATCGCTGATATTTATGGACGGCTGTTCAACACTGTCCATTTTCGTGTCATCTCGCACACGCACACCGTGTGCCAAGCTGGTGACACCATGGTGCAGAGATTGTTCAGACACTGATCAGGACCTCGCTGTAAATCGCCGAGCAGCATCGCTGACATATGCGGGCTGCCAGTATCTGTGCTGGATTACCCAGCGCCTCGCCACAACTCTGCATATCACAGACATCAATCAAAGCCGTACGTCCGATTAATAATAACGATGATAAGCTTTACTTATCCATAAGTGGCTCAAGACTCTTTTCAAGAGGGCCAGGCAATGCGTTGAGATGTTTGGCCAATTTTAGTTATTAGTAGGAAGCGGACCTGATTCCAAAGAACACAGGATGAGATGTTACTATCCTTTGTGCAAGCACTTCCAAGAGTTCATGAACAGTGAGCCTGGTGAAATTTGGGGAGCGCATCGTCAGTAGTGACCCTTTGGTTCCTAGGGTGTTTCGGCCTTTCATACTATACACCCTCCCCAAAGGTGGCCAGCGACAGGGTGATCAATCCTATGCTTGCGTCCCATTCCCAATTAGTCATAGGAGTTGCCTTGTTGTTGGTAGCCACAACTCTGCATATCACAGACATCAATCAAAGCCGTACGTCCGATTAATAATAACGATGATAAGCTTTACTTATCCATAAGTGGCTCAGGACTCTTTTTAAGAGGGTCAGGCAATGCGTTGAGATGTTTGGCCAATTTTAGTTATGAGTAGGAAGCGGACCTGAGGAAACCTCCCACCACGCACACCAAGAATTGACACTAAAAGCTCTGCACAGATAGATTCAGGAATCCATCGCCGAACTGAAAATTATCTGGCCACTCCTGCAGCCCCAAGCATACAGCATCTGGTATTCTCATGCAGCCTCTCATACAGGCACTAACCAGGCTTAAGCCTGGTTAGCTTCCAAGACCTGACGACATCAGGAGCATTCATAGTGGTTTGGTCGCGAGAGAATCTTCGTGAGATTTGGGGCCAGGGCTTGTTGTAGATGGGGGAAGGAAGAGGGACTCCAGTTGGCTCCACTAGGGTTGACAGAGGAGCCCTGATAGATTTCTAGCAGGTGTGAATCCTACAAAGCGGTAGCAGTGTTAAAAAAAAAAAACTCGGGCACCAAGGGGCTCAGCGGGCTCTGGATTAATGAAAAAATAAGGGTGCACAAATGAAATTATCAGCTCTATTTCAAATCCTAATGAAAATATCAAGCTAATTAATGGAAAGAGACAATGAATCTCTCATTGATATCTTGCCTGCATGTCTCTTCTCTTCATTCTCTCATCTCGCTGCATCCCATCACATGTCTGTCTACGTATTTATAATCTCACTATATCTATATCTCGTGTGTATATATATATTCCGTTGTCTCGCGAGGATTGAATAAATTGAAAGGGGAAGGCCACCAAAACATATTTTTGCTTAGGGCACCCAATGAGCCAGCACCATCACTGTCAACAAAGCTCGGTAATTGTTTCAAATATATCTATGTTCTCATTCCACAAATATTTACTTCTGGGGGGAGGGGGGGCTAGAGAAGAGCGGGGTGCCATTGAACAATCACGTGGGGGCACGTGGACGTCGATAACTCTGAACTGCAAAATGGTGTGAAGATGAGACGCTGCTGTGTTTGAGATCCCGGTAAGCGGATGATCTACGC